GTAGGACGTCTGTCTTGTCTGGATTCAATTTCAATTTGTTAGCTCTCATCCAGTCCGACACAGCAGCCAAGCACCGGTTCAAGGTCTGGACAGCCTCCTTGGGGACAGGTGGAAAGGAGTGACAGAATGACAAAACAAATAAATACTGGGAATTGTAGTCCAACAATGTCAAGAGGGCCGCATGATTCCCAGCTCTGATTTACCATTTCATCACACTAACTACACTTTAAAGAGTTGGTAGAGAGTCGGCATCCCACTTTAAATCCTGTGGCTGCCTCCTGCTGAATTTTGGGGTTTGATCTGATTCTGCTCTACTGACTTGCCTATGGATATTCCAGTTCCCAAATCTTATACCTTGCTGAAATTCTAGTCCCTGTGTTCAACTTATCCATGAGTCATTTCAAAATCCACGCTTTTCAAAATCCAACCTTTCCTCAATTTATACATGAAGTTGACTCCCATATGAATATATATATATATATATATATATATATATATATATATATATATACACACACACACACACACACACACACACACACACACACACACACACACACATACAGTAAGCAAAACAGAGATGTTTAAACAGAGAACTCTAGCATAAGAGGAAAAAACAAAATGTAAAAAAATCTTGTGGAGGAAACATGTTGAATTCTTAGGAAAACTGTTGCAAAGGAACACATTGTCCTAAAAGGGAAAATATGCCTGTCAACATGGAATTGTTTTTAAGCAAGTGATTTAAGATGATCGCTGGACTTACGAATTACTCAAATTACACAATGGGCCACAAGCAGATGAGAAGAGCGATTCCCAGATTAAGTAATAGTCATTTTAAATAAAGTTTGTTTTGTGGGTTTTCTTTTTAAGGCAATCAGCTGCTTGAAGCCAAGACAATTGAAAAGCCACCATCTGCTGCTAATCCAATTAGACAGTTCAAAGCCCACTTTTGCAAAGCCGAGTGTTATTGATTTATTCCATAAACATATTTTTCAATTATACAACATGGAGGTCTACATTCCTTCTAATTATGCTTTTTATTTAGAAATTATAATGATCCATGGATCAAGGGGAAACTGAGTAATGCCAAAGGAAAAAAAAATAAGAAAAACATGCAATGATATTCCTCCACATATGCATGAGTCTCGCCATCCAGTGTATATGACTTTGAGGAAGCCACACTCTCACAGCCTCAGAGAAAGCAAAAGCAAATCCCCTCTGAATAAATCTTGCCAAGAAAATATCACACTTAAAATTGCCTTAAACTAGAAATGATTTAAAGGCACACAACAGCAGCAATGCATGACAGTGACACATCTTTTCATGAGATGATGTTGGTTGTCATTCCATAATGCAGCTACAGATTCATAATCTAGAATTATGGATCTGTTACTACTCCATATTCACAAACACAACTGTGCTACTATTGTCATAACTGTAACAGCCCCCAAATCCATCTCAACTAGCAGCCACAGAGAGAGATGGAGGTCTGTTCAACTGGAGATCAGAGTTCAGGAGGATGACATTTCCACTCATGTCTTGCCAACAAGTGAGACTGAGACATGGAATAACGACGGATCCTGCTTGTTAAAGCCTTGAGGGCTGAGTGGAAACATTGTTCTCATGCATGCTGATTGGCAGCTAACAGACCTCCATCTCCATCTCAACTTTACTAAGTTGAAGGTAAAGAAAATTTAGGGGATGGGGGGATGACACAGGAGATGTCAGTTTACATTTGCAATTGGTTAGTGTAGAATATGTTTTCTCCAGAAATATGAAAGGAACTTCAAAATGTAACACCTTGGACAACAGTTCCCAGAATCCCTCAGGCAGCATGATCAAAGGCCATGCTGCTCTGAGGATTCTGGGAATAGTCCAAAAAAGTAACATTTCAAAGCTCTATGGATAAGTGTAGCTGATAGAAAGAGAATGTTCCAAACCCATATTGGCATATATAAAGGTGGCGATGAAAGATCTTGTCCATAAGCAATTACTTGTGAAGGTAACCATAACTCTTAGGCAACTGTACTGGAATTTTAGGAAATGCATATGGATTAAAACCCATCACCACTGTGCTTGGACTACCATTTGGCGATGAGAAACCCTTCAAATCCCAGTCTAAACATTGTTCTTGAGTCATATGGAATTATGTCACATATGAGTATATGGTTCTGTGCTTTGGAGTTCTTGTAGGCTGTTCATGCACCAATACATCTCTGCACATCATGTGTGGAAAAATATTGGTTGCACATGTGTTGTTGGAAAATACTTCCATGGCTATGGCCATGCTTGTTAGGACTGATAGACAAAGTCTGAAAGATCACATACATTTTCCTTTGATTATTCAACTTGTGTCCAAGATTATGTGCAGAAATCCAGGGATCTGAACTAGCATGGGGTCCAGCACTTTAAGGCTGAGACAAAATTTGCTCATGTGAAAACATGGCTCCTTTGAGTGAAATCATCCACTGTGACATCTGAAGGGCCCCTAAAACTACCAGAAAACTTACATTTAAGTTGTGCTAGTGCTCTTTTGAGCACTCTTCCAAGGGAGGAGAAGGGAAGAGAACAAAGTTCTCTCCTTGCTATCCTTCCATCAGCAAATTAAAACTGTTCTGTTCCAACAGGCTTTTGGGAATTGCTTTTAACAGTGTGCTGTTTTGCTGATGTTAATCTTGCCCTTAAATTGATTTGTTTTAAATTGTTTTTAATTCATAGAATCATAGAATCAAAGAGTTGGAAGAGACCTCATGGGCCATCCAGTCCAACCCCCTGCCAAGAAGCAGGAATATTGCATTCAAATCACCCCTGACAGATGGCCATCCAGCCTCTGTTTAAAAGCTTCCAAAGAAGGAGCCTCCACCACACTCCGGCAGAGAGTTCCACTGCTGAATGGCTCTCACAGTCAGGAAGTTCTTCCTCATGTTCAGATGTAATCTCCTCTCTTGTGAAGTTTGAAACCATTGTTCCGCGTCCTAGTCTCCAAGGAAGCAGAAAACAAGCTTGCTCCCTCCTCCCTGTGGCTTCCTCTCACATATTTATACATGGCTATCATATCCCCTCTCAGCCTTCTCTTCTTCAGGCTAAACATGCCCAGCTCCTTAAGCTGCTCCTCATAGGGCTTGTTCTCCAGACCTTTTATCATTTTAGTCTCCTCTGGACACATTCCAGCTTGTCAACATCTCTCTTGAATTGTGGTGCCCAGAATTGGACACAATATTCCAGATGTGGTCTAACCAAAGCAGAATAGAGGGGTAGCATTACTTCCCTAGATCTAGACACTATACTCCTATTGATGCAGGCCAAAATACCATTGGCTTTTTTGTTGTTGCCGCATTACATTGTTGGCTCATGTTTAACTTGCTCTCCACGAGGACTCCAAGATCTTTTTCACACGTACTGCTCTCGAGCCAGGCATCCCCCATTCTGTATCTTTGCATTTCCTTTTTCCTGCCAAAGTGGAGTATCTTGCATTTGTCACTGTTGAACTTCATTTTAGTTTTGGCCCATCTCTCTAATCTGTCAAGATCGTTTTGAATCCTGCTCCTGTCCTCTGGAGTATTGGCTATCCCTCCCAATTTGGTGTCGTCTGCAAACTTGATGATCCTGCCTTCTAGCCCTTCATCTAAGTCATTAATAAAGATTGAACAGGACCGGGCCCAGGACGGAACCCTGCGGCACTCCGCTCGTCACTTCTTTCCAGGATGAAGAGGAAGCATTGGTGAGCACCCTCTGGGTTCGTCCATTTAACCAATTACAGATCCAGCTCACCGTAGTTTTGCCTAGCCCACATTGGACTAGTTTCCTTGTTTCCTTGCCAGAAGGTCATGGGGGACCTTCTCGAAGGCCTTACTGAAATCCAGGTACGCTACATCCACGGCATTCCCCGCATCTACCCAGCTTGTAACTCTATCGAAGAAAGAGATCAGATTAGTCTGGCATGACTTGTTTTTGATAAATCCATGTTGACTATTAGCGATGACTGCATTTGTTTCTAAGTGTTTGCAGACCGCTTCCTTAACAATCTTTTCCAGAATCTTGCCTGGTATTGACGTGAGGCTGACCGGACGGTAGTTGTTTGGGTCATCCTTTTTTTCCCTTCTTGAAGATTGGGACCACATTGGCCCTCCTCCAATCTGCTGGAACTTCTCCCGTTCTCCAAGAACTCTCAAAGATGATTGCCAATGGTTCCTAAATGACTTCCGCTAGTTCCTTCAGTACTCTTGGGTGTAGTTGATCTGGCCCTGGGGACTTGAACTCATTTAGAGCGGCCAGGTATTCCTGGACGACTTGTTTCCCAATTTGGGGTTGGATGTCCTCTAATCCTTCATCCACTCCATCTTGCTGAGGTTGAAGATGACTTTCTTTTTGTGAGAAGACTGAGGCAAAGAAGGCATTAAGTAGTTCTGCCTTTTCCCTATTCCCTGTCAGCATTGCCCCATCTTCTCCTTGAAGAGACCCTATCACCTCCTTGTTATTCCTTTTTCTACTGACATAAGAAAAGAAGCCCTTTTATTGTTTTTAATGTCCCTGGCAAGCCTGAGCTCATTTTGTGCTTTGGCCTTGTGGACCTTTTCCCTACAGGTGTTGGCTATTTGTTTGAATTCTTCTTTGGTGATTTCTCCCTTTTTCCACTTCTTGTGCATGTCTCTTTTGTGTCTCAGCACAGTTAGAAGTTCTTTGGACATCCATTCTGGCTTCTTTGCACTTGTCCTATTTTTTCTTTTTGTTGGCACGGCTTGCAACTGCGCCTTGAATATTTCATTTTTGCGAAACTCCCATCCATCCGTAACTCCCTATGGATAGATTAATGTTAGGTTTTTAAAAACATGTTTAAAATTATTTTTGTAGGTTTTGACCTCAGCATATGGGCTGATTTATCCATTGTATGCTGCTTGCTGTCTCCTTTTGCCACAGAGCTCATTACATGCCATAAATCTACTTCTGTGGCTCCATGGCAAAAAGGGAGAGCAAGCAGTGTATGCTGCCATGGCGGCAACATGGCTTTCCATGTTGCCTTTGCGGCACTGGTTGAAAGCCAGTCAGCGAGCGCTTCCCCCTGTGGAATAGAGCCAGTGCTAAGTCAGGTGATGCAGGACATAGGGTGATGTGTTCTCCACAGATTTGCCATGATGCGTGGTGAATTGTGACCTTAATGTGATAAGGTCCTATGATAGCAGGCAGTGTTGTACTAGAACTCTGGAAACCAAGTTTCACCACAATAGATTATAAGGACCCACAATAAGGATCATCATAAGTAAAAAATAATTATTCAAAGTAACAATATAACGACAAGTGATTTCAACTGTATTTTTAAGCATTGCAATGAGTTCAGTATTGGGGAAAAGTTGTGATGTAAAGGAGGAAGAAGATGATAGAGATGATACCCCCATTGCAAAGTTTATTGTGTTTTGTGACATCTGTTTTATTATGTGAAACTCACATTGCAATACAAATAATGTTAAACAGCCTGTCGTATTCTTAATCCTCGTTATGACCATTATTGTTGCCTGTTAAAATTCTATTTGTTCTATTTCAAGCTTATGGGTCTCTGTTTTTCACATAGTTGAACATCTTCTATTGGTTCTTAGGTCCCACTGCCTAGAGTTGACAGAACGGCTCTTTCTATCCAAGAGAGCCTCCTTGTCCAGCAGAGGAATCCCATTGGCAGCAGGGAAGGCAATGTTTGTTTCCTACTCTGCTGTTCTTTTTCTCTGTGTACTATCAGGCTTACTTGTAATAAAATTAATAAGCTATAGGAAGCATTATGTCTAGACTGAACTAGACACTTATGTGCATCTATACCAGGCATGAGCCAACAAAGGCTCGGGGGCTGGATGCAGCCCCCTGGGTGCTTACCACAGGCCCTCCTCATTTTCCCTATCCTTTTGGCATCAGGACGTGGTGGCCTGCTGCATTCTTATGCAG